TTAACACCCCCCTCCCTGTCCCACCCACCACACCTGGGGTCCCTTAACATCCCCCCCTGCCCCACCCACCACACCTGGGGTCCCTCAATTCTTCCCCTCCCCTGCCCACCCCATTGCTGGCCCTGTAGGGTTACCTTCCCACAATCCCTGGTCCATGCCTTGTTCAGGCTGGAAGGGGCTGTGTTGGAGGCAAGGGTTACTGGGGCTAAGCCTCTCCCACAAGAACCTGGCTGTCCCACTGGCAGGCCAGAGATGTGTCCATCTGGGCACCACTCACAGAGACCCTGGCTGGTAGGGGGGTAGGACACCGACCTGCCAGGATCACAGCACCCCCCGAGTCTCCTGGGCTCTGACGATGGGCTGAGCAGCCTCTCCCTGCTGACCTTAGAGAGCCATCACTATCTTGGACCTGGAGAGGTGTCTGCCCGAGGCCTGGCGGTGGTGGCTTCAGGAAGGCAAGATTCACTCTAACCTGGAGGTGGGGCTGACCCCGAGCCAAGAAAGAGACCTGAGGATATGCTTGCGGTAAGGGCAGGAGGCCTCCTCCAAGCCGGGTGCTGAGTCCAAGGCTCCCCCCATCAGACAGATCAGCCTGGGGTCGTTTCTGATGGGAGAGGCCTCCCGTCAGTCAGTCAGTCAACAATCATTGTGGTGCCAGGCCACAGCCGGTAGTAGAGAGGCTCCCCTGCACGACCAGAGCATAACCTCACCCCCTCAGCGGTCTGCTAGACTCGAGGTAGGGGGCGTGGCTCCTGCCCCACCCCTGCCAGGCCAGGGAAGGTGTGGGGTGCTAGGCAAGTCACTTCTTTTGGGAGCCTCGGTGTTCTCACCTGTAAAATGGTAGTGATCCCTGCTTGACCTTGGAGTCGTGAATAAGGGACTAAGGAAGATGCGGGAGCCTGGACAGGAGCCAGGGACCATGCAGGACTCTGGAGAGGGGGAGTTGCCCTGCTCACACTCCCTGAAGGCAAGCCCCATAGCTGGGCAAACCCCTTCACACCCACACCATCTTCAACTTCCACTTCTATAGGGTGAATGAAAGGAGACGGGCAAGGGCCGCCGGGAGGAATCAAGTCATGGGCATCAGTGAAGACCCCCGCTGTCCCCACAGGTACTGAGGCCAGGGCAGGTGGTGCCAGCCTGGGCTGAGGACAGGGGTGGGGGGTAGCCAGAGAGAATGCCAGAGGCTCCCTGCTGTGGAAGCCTGATCTGGCCATGGCTCCAGACCTGCTGGTGAGGGCATGGGGGGCCTGGTACCCCCGAGGGAAGGCTGAGGCCCTGTACTCAGGCAGAGAGGTGCCCTCTTGGCACTGCTGTGGCCTTGCCGGCAGTCAAGGGCTCCAGGGCAGGTGGAAGGGCAGCCCCGGCTTGGCTTGAGATGACCCCTGGGGCCCATCATGTTTGTGGACCCAAGGATGGGGTCCCTCCCACAGGGGGTGCTCCTGCTGGGATCCCACGGGGACCATCAGCTTCTGCTCTCACCACGGCCAAGCCAGGCTTACCCGGGTTGAGTATGTGTGGATAAACAGCCATTTCATGACATCACAGACAGAGACATCTTCATAAATGGTCATGGTCCCTCAGGATTACCCAGAGAAGGAGGCAGGGGCAAGTGCAGGGCAGGTTAGAGCCAGGTGAACCTTAAGGGACTGTTCTGTCTTTCTGAATGATCTGTGTACCTTGAGCAGGAATGGCCCCACACCTGGTACACCGCGGGGGGGGGGGGGGGGGGCTGGTACCACCCACACCTGGTATACCATGGGAGGCTTTGTGGTACCACCCACACCTGGTATACCATGGGGGGGGCTGGTACCACTCACACCTGGCACACCATGGGGGAGGGCCTGTACCACCCACACCTGGTATACCATGGGGGGGCTGGTACCACTCACACCTGGTATACCATGGGAGGGGCTGGTACCACCCACACCTGGTATACCATGGGAGGCTTTGTGGTACCACCCACACCTGGTACATCATGGGGGGGCTGGTACCACCCACACCTGGTATACCATGGGGGACTGGTACCACTCACACCTGGCACACCATGGGGGAGGGCCTGTACCACCCACACCTGGTACATCATGGAAAGCCTTCTGGTACCACCCACACCTGGTACATCATGGGGGGCCCTCTGGTACCACCCACACCTGGTATACCATGGGAGGCCTTGTGGTACCACCCACACCTGGTACATCATAGGGGTGGTACCATCCATACCTGGTACATCATGGGGGGGCTGGTACCACCCATACTTGGTATATCATGGGGGAGCTGGTACTACCCACACCTGGTACATCATGGGGGGGGCTGGTACCACCCACACCTGGTACATCATGGGGGAGGGCTGGTACCACCCACACTTGGTATATCATGGGGGAGCTGGTACCACCCACACCTGGTACACCATAGGGGGACTGGTACCACCCACAGCTGGTACATCACCAGGGGCTCTGCTCAGGCAGCCAAACACAAGTTGCTGAGTGGTGGTGACCCACACTTCATGTCTAGCCCCCCATTTATGGACCTGCTCTTTCTATTGTTCCATAAATGCACAGGCTAAATCTGCCGTCCTGAGGGCATGAGATCAGCAGCAGTGAGGGCAGGTGCCCAGCAGCCCCCCACCCTCCCTGGGGGTGCAAAGGGGCATGGCCCTTGTGGTCCCCAGCCCTCGTGAGGCAGCTAGGTGGCTAGCTGCTGCATCTAGAGGTCTCAGGTGATGTGGCCCTGGCAAGCCCCTCCCAGGGCTGTTGGGAAGATGGAATGAGATGATGTTTGAAGATCGCTCTAGAAATACTAGCTACTGTCACTAATATAGAGGGCACAGGCCAGACTCAGGCTGAGTGGCTGCACACACAGGCGGGACCTCGCTTCCTCCTGCCAGGCTGGTGTAGACACAGCTGGGGGAGGTGGGGAGCTGGTGACCAGCAGGAAGGAGGGGAATGGAGGACCAGGAATGTCTCCCGGGATTTTGCATCAGGCAAAGACTGTTGTTGGGGGAGGGTGAAGGCAGAGGGGCCTTAAGGAATGAATTTTATTTTTTAAAAATACTGATACACCTGAACTTTGTTGGGAGACACTGGCAAATAGACCTTTTTTTTTTTTTAAGATCCCTAAGGTATGGAAATACAAGTGTGGCTCAGTGGCTACAGCACTGGTCCAGGAGTCAGGAAGACTTGAGTTCAGATTTGACCTCAAACGTAGCTGTGTGACCCTGGGAAAGTCACTTCATCTCTGTCTGCCTCAGTTTCCCCATCTGTAAAATGGGTATAATAATATCATTTACCTCCCAGGGTTGCTGTGAGGATCAAAGGAGACAATAATTGCAAAGTGCTTAGCACAGTGCCTGGCACATAGTAGGTGCTTAATAAATGGTAGCTGTTATGGTGGTTGTTGTCATTGTTATGGGAACCTGAAGAAAGACCTCTTTGGTCTGATAACCCCTTGGCTCGGAGGAAGTTTCCCTTCCCTTGCCCTCTGCTGTCTACCCTGGGAAGCTCTTGGGGTCCCAGCCGCTCAGCAGCCACCCTGCAGGCCACCCACACTGCATGACCCCCAGGCTGTCCTGGTCTCTGCAGGTCTCCCTCTTCTTACTCCATCCCACACCCTGCCCTGGACAGGGCTTACAGCAAGGCCTAGGGGACGGACCCTTTGCACGATTGATAAAGACAGAGCTAAGCAGGAAGATGGACTGTGCAGGGAGAAGAGGCTGGGCGAAGGTCTGGGATGGGTCTCTGACCATCCTGAGGCACCATAGGAGCAAGGGCACCCAGCAGAGAAACCTGCTCTGGTCCTTCACTACTCCAAACCGACCTCACCCCCGCTGCTCTGTCCTTCTGGTCCCCCAGGACATGGGGGAAGGAGCCTCCATTACAGGGCAGCCCCCCTCAGCCTCTGAGCCACTCTGGTGATGCCCCTACAGAGCCTGAAAATTGGACTTATCTCCTCTCACAAACATTCAGAGCTCAATTCCTCCTGGCCCTGGTCACCCCAGGCCTGCAGAGCTGGCTGGCTGGGTTAGATGCTGTGGCCCCCCCCCTTGAATAGTAGAGGACCCTTTGATCACCTGCATCTATGCCCCTCTACCTGGCTGTGCAGTGAGGTGGGCCCTAGCCTCACCTCCTTGTGCAGCTAGTAAGCACCTGCTGTATGCAGAGTTCTGCAGCTCCAAGAACTGACGTCTGGGCTGGCTCACAGAGTAAAGGGAGGAACCAGTCACGGGTCCCACCAGGAAGAGGAAGAAAAGCTGAGGAGAAACACACCGCCAGCTCCACCCAGGCTCTGTAGCTTCTGGGACAAAGACTAGGCAGTGGGGGGTGGGGGGTGGAGAAAGGGCTGGCCCCCTGGCCCCACCCCAATCCTCCCCAAAGGCCAGGAAAGATCCCAAACTACACCATTCCCATTGCAGCAATTAAAAAATTGTGGGGAGGGCACACGAGAGGGGCGATGCTGAGCCAGCTACCAGACCCCAACCCTCTAGTGGGCTTTCCCTAGCCCGCACCAGCAGAAAGGACACCAGTTCCATTTAAAGGGTGCTGGGGCGGGGGCCCTCTAAGTCCTCAAGTGTGGCCCTTGGACTGAATCCAGACTTCCCAAAACAAATCCCCTTTCTTTCAGAGATTCTGAAATCTGCACTTGGGGGCTTGCTGTGGGTTAGCCTTCCCTCTCTTCCAATCTTGCCACAGCCACATTTAAAGGGCTGATGGGAGCAGGAATGAAGAGCAAGATGTACGGGTAAGACTGGCATCTTCCACTCTCTGCCTTCCTTGGGCTCTGGACTTCAAAGGCCCTCCATGGGTCCCATCCACAGGCTGCCTCAGCCTGCCTTACAGCTGTCTGGGCTGGCTTCCTTGGGGGCTTGGGGCCAGGCTACTGGACTCTGCTGCAGGAGGTTGGAGGCTGGCCAGTGCAGGGACTTGGACACCATCCACATCATCACCTGCGGCACCTGGTGGGCGAGAAGGGTCGCTGCCTTGCAATTATGGTGTCCCCCACTTTAAGAATGCACATCAATTTCTACAGTGCAGATGGCTGACTCTATCGGCCTCCCCCTACCCCCCAGGACAGATAGGGGGCAGGATGCGGCCCCAACCCCATCCCTGGATCAGCTCAGGTTGAAGGTCATGTACACAGTGCTCTCCAAGGTCCCTTTGCACACGTTGCTTTGTCCAAGAACACTCAGCGGAGTGAAGAGGCAAATTGTCAAGTGACATCCACATGGGATGGATCCCGTGGTACGTGCTGTGAGGGAGTCTGTCCTCATAGACCAGCCCTCCAGAGTCCTGAGGGCCAGCTTCAATCACACAGACTTAACACCAAAGTGGCCGCCTGGATCCGGCCTTTAGGGAGACTCTAGGGTCCGTGCACTACCTAGACGTCCTGTGGACAGATTTCAGGGTGTCTGAGAATCTGTCTTTTTTTAAAAATGTATTTTGATAACTACATTCCAACATCATTGGTTTCTTTTGCAATCCTATGTATTTATTTCATGCATTTAATATTATTTTGAGAAGGGGTCCGTGACAGAAAAAGGTAAGAATTCCTGCTCTAAGCCAAGCTTCAGGGTCACAGGAACCTTGGGGACAAAGGCATTTAGGACATTCCCTTCTAGTACATAACATGCACACACACATACACACAGAAGCTAATTTCAAACATAACTAAAGATATCATTAGCTAAAGTGATGGACAATTCAGCAAGCTAACAGCCACGTGGGGAATGTCAATATTATCTGCTTAACATGTAGAATAAATCTCGTCCTGTCTCACTTTGACTTCCTAGGGTTCTGTGTTGGACAGTTCCAGACTTCTCTGTTGGGAGTGAGGGGTTGTCCATGTGGAGGTGACCCTAAGCACAATGAAGAAGGCAGTCCTATAACCTGGAGGAGGTGGGACTGGGGTGCCGAGAAAACTCTTATAGGACCAGAGAAGCAGCATAGCCAGAGGACACCCACCCTCCCTGCTCAGCCCCCAGGATGAAAGTCCAAGGAGATCCCACAGGAACCAAAGGACATGATGGCATGGCACAGGTACCTGATACCTCCAAGTGACCATATCGATGGAGGCCATAGGGCCAGCAGCAGCAGCAGTAGCATGGGAACTGGAGGAGGGAGCGAGTTCAAAATCACCAGGAGTCAATGGGCAGGACCTAGGGCAGAGGACTGGAGAATCTTTGGCCATCCCAGGCAGGTGAGGCCCAGGTCACGTGAGACAGCAGGGACTGACGGAGGCCTGGACCATGGTCATCACTCAGAGCCCAAAACCTGGGGGTCCTTAAATACTTCGGCATCCTCAGGCCTGAGAGACCCCGAGAAGGGCCTCAGGCGCACTTCTTCCGGGGGGTTGGAGCGCCTATCTCGGCTTGAGCCATCTCTCAAAAGTGGAACCAGAGGAAAATTCTTCCAGTGTTTTCCTGAAACTGAAGTGGGGAGGGGGAAAGGTCATTCAAAGAATCTGGCGCAGGAACTCTGCCTTCAATAGCCCTGAAATGGCCAAGGGGATGGGCCACCCACTCCTCTATGAAATCCCTGAAGTTTCTCCCCTGGCTGCTTGTGAGAGAACCCTCAGCTCCCTCTGGCCCCCCAGCTCTGTCCTCTCCATCTCTGACTCACTGGGCCCTCTGGCAAGTCAACTCTCTCCACCATTAAAGTGAGACAGTAATCCCCGTCCCTTCTAAACCTGTGAAGAAGGAAAACATGAGAAATGGGGGCGGGGAAGGCAGGTGGGACTTTCTTGTTCTAAGAAACTCCAGGGAGAAGAAAAAGCCCTCTCTGAGGCAGTGCGGGACCTCCTCTCCTCTGACCTTAGAGCCTTGCAGAGGGGCCTAGACCAGAAGCTGCCCAGGGCACGCAGCCCCAAGAGGGGCAGAGGAGGCACTTGGACCAGGTTTTCCTGGGTCCAAAGTTGGCTCCCTGTCCACTGAGCTACACAGCTTCCGAATGAAAACACAATATGTAAAAGTCAACGGGCTGCACTGGGATTGAACTAGGAGCTCAGACTTGACCCAAAAGCCCCAGAGGCCAAAGCCAGACAGGAAGCCCTCCACTGAGGAGGTAGAAAGGAGTCCACAAGGCAGATGGAGCAAACAGGATGCAGGATGTGACCTGCCAGAAAAGTGATCATGGAAGACTAGGCACTGAAGCCCCTACCAGGAGTTATCTGTGTGCTTTCACAAAGCACCCTCAGTTCCAGAACAATTCTTCCCCTCCCCGTTCCTGTTCTCTTTGCTTATCTGCGTGATAAAGGCACCTTCAGACCACCAGATATTGTGGGCATTTTGAAGCCATGCGTGCTCCTTCCATTCTCTTGTCCCCTTCTCCCATTTCATAAAATTGTATTTAAACCATACCTTTGACCTGGCCAGCCACCTCTGCCTCCTACGGGGAGCGGGGCCTGTGGCCTGTTCTGCCTCCCATGTGGAGTAGAGCCCACTGGGGCTCTGCCTCATGGGGAGCAGGCCTGCTTGGGTGCATCACCCCAATAAATGCCTTTCTTTAAGTTGGAGACTATCCGAATGAATTTTTTCAGGATACGAGGACCCACACGTCTATTCCTCATCATTTCTGGGGGCTCCCCAACATTCTTGGGGTCCACTCTGAACTCATCACCAGTGGTTAAGAGAACATCGTCTTAGTGAATTCTTTCATACCTGAACTTCTCTCTCGAATCTGATCTCAACACCACCACTCTCACCCTTTGAGTGGCCTCTTTGTGGGAGCAAAGGACTGCCCCAAAAAAGCTGCCTGCCCATCGATGGCAGGATGGTCCAGCCAGGCTGGGAATGAGCTCAAATCTTACTGGGCTGAACAGGGATAATGTGAAGAGTAAGGAACAATACCAAGGGAGGAGGGGAGAGGGGAGCCAGCTGATTGAGCGGAGCACCTAAGTCTGGGGAAGTGGATGCTGGACAGGTCTGAGCAGCCCAGGACTGAAGGCCCAGGCCTCACAAGGGGAGAAGAAGGGCCCAACTGTCTGTTAGCCTTGGACAGCCTGGGACCGGCTGTTTTCCTTTTCCTTACCATTATAGTAGGCCGGCACCTTCCCAGGTGAGGTGACTACCTCAGGGACCAGACGAGTAAGTCATAGATCTCTGCCTCTACCCTACCTTCTTCCCTTTCTGCTCCCACCCCCAGGGCAAGGAGGGTAAGGAACCAAGCTCATTGCCAAGTGGTGGCTTGGCCCACAGTCTGATTCCCCCTCTTGCCACCGGCCATGGGGCAAGGATCTCTCAGTCCCCAAGGACAGTCCATATCTGCCTGAGAACCCACTGGGGCACTCACCTCGACTGGACCGTAGATTAAAACTTAAGGTACGCTTGATCCCTTCACAGTTTCCAGGGTCCTCATTGATGATGCCCAGGTTGGTGTTCCAAGTGGTCCAATTGATCTCATCAACTCTGCAGAAAAACCATCTGAATAAGAGGCTCTCCTTACAGGCCAGTTTCCTTCACCACCCTGGGTCTCAGTCTCCCTATTTGTAAAAGGAGGGGCTGGAAACTGGAGAATTCCTGCCTGACCTGGGGGCTGGGGGAAGGGTCTTGTGGCCAGGGCGTCATGCCAAAGGACCCATCAGCTAGCTCCTGGGAGGGAACTTCAGCACTAGTGCTAGCACCCTCGAGTCCCTGGGCCCCTCCCACTTCTAACATTCTATAAATGGGTTAGTCTATTAGTCTGCTCAGTTGCCCAGACTCAAGATTTGGCAAAGAGGGAGTCCTGTCCTAAAAGTCACCAAGTGATGGGGCATGCTTGGCACAGTGCCTGGCACATAGTAGGTGCTTAATAAATGCTGGTAGATTATTATTGATTGAAGTAGATGCTCTGGGAAGCAGCACCAGCAGCACCAGGCTTGTGAGCTGGCAGAGTTGGGAGCTTCTGGCAATGGGGGGACAAGAAGGGCCCCCAAATCTCTAACCTGTCTCAGTGTCTGGTATTCTTTCATTAAAGAATCACTCCTGTGCTTGGTTGATAGCTGTGAGGGATCATAGAGATCCCAAAGACCCAAATCCTCATTTTGTGGTGTCACTCAGCAGACCTGAGTCCAGCTGAGATCTCCTGACCCACCACAAAGCTAGATGCTAGAAGGGATTTGGACGGAGGGCTCACAAGCTTTTCCTGGGGAATCCGATAAGGGGTGCATTTTTATCAGAAGGGTCCAGAGGGAGTATCATCTGTTAAGAAGATGTACTCATGGGAGGAACCCCAGAGAGCAGGAGCAGAAAGCAATGTGGAGAGCATTTGGGTGAAGGTCAAAGAAAGGAGGGACAGACCACAGAATACCTAGAAAGGGAGGAAAGAGATGAGGAATAGCTTGGGAAAAGATGACAAACCAGGCACAGATGTATGATGTAAGAGTGATGGAGAACTCCAGTTTTCCTGGCATCTGATGGATGTGTGTGTGTGTGTGTGTGTGCCCATCTTTGTCTCTTTCACATTCTGTCTCTGCCTCCCATAAAACAGTAGCTCAGAACTTCTTGGCTTCCCTTAGCGATAATTTCATTCCGTTCTGGGTCTGATCCTTCCTGCCAGGGAGAACCTGGTCATGGCAATGGAAAAGATGGGGACCTTCCGGAAGAATGACTCCTCCCTCCCCCTTGTAGAGTTGGTGAGAGAGGAGAGGCTTTTCGACCCCAAGAAGAGAGTCAACTTTTGCTGGGGTTGGATAAGACAATGGTGACTGTCAAAAGAACCAGGCGGCTCTGCTCAGGTCCGCTTTTGCTGAGAGAATGACCTTTGCACCGGGAAGGTCGCCGGAAGCCGAGAGGTGCCCAAGATGCACAGGGCAAAAGGAGTCCAAGCTGCCCTGGATGGACTCAGGGGCTTTGGGCCAGATGAACTTGTTCTGGCAGAGACATCAGTAACAAGCCCGTCTGTAGTGACATGTTAAGAGTATGGAAGACAGGAGTATATCGCAAGCTGGAGAGGGGAAAATATGGATCCCATTCTTTACAAAGGGAAGAGAGCAGAGTCTGCAAACAACAGGCCAGTGAACTTGACCTCCATGCCTGGAAAATCCCTGAAGGGGTCATTGTCATGGATGAGGTGGGGGAGCACCTGGAATGGGCAGCAGCGGTTTCAAGGGGCCAGCTGGGCTTCATTAGGAACACATCCTGCCAGGCTGGCGGGTTTCCTTTTCTGATAGGGTTTCTACGCTGAGAGATTAGGCAGATGCCATTAATAGTTTACCTGGATTTTAGCAAAATATTTTCTATAGTGTCTCATTCTATTCTTGTGGAGAAGATGGAGGTTGTTGTTTTCCTTTGTTCTTGAAGAGGACCATGGCATCAGGGAGGTGCTGCCATGCCATCCCAGTGACTTGGATGTGAGGGAGGTCTGGGCAAAGTCACCAGCCTCACTTTCTCCTCCAGAGCCATCTGGGTGCAAGGGCCAGATAGAGATCAGGAGACCGGGGATGGCCCCGGAAGATGGAGATGGGTGGGTCAGACAATAATTCAATTAGATAGACTCAAAACTGGTTGAATGGCCCTACTCCAAGAGTAGTTGTTAATAATTCTGGAATGTGGAAAGAGGTTTCCAGTGGAGGGCCCCAGGAATCTACACTTGGAATTCACTATTTAACATTTATTATTCTCTTGGATAAAGGCATAGACGGTAGGCTCATCGCCTTCACCAGTGGTGGGTAGGGATCCTGGCAGTATAGAGTACTAGACTGAATCTAATGAGACAGCCCTATTTAGTAGGAATCAAAGTAAAGGCTTGTACTTGGGTACAGAGAACCAACTTCACAAAGACAGCATATGGAAGACAGGATGTAGGATCAGTTTAGCTGAAAAAGATCTGGGGGTCCCAGAGCTCAGTATGAGCCAGCCATGGAATATGGCAGTCAAAAAAGGCTAACGTAACCTCGGGCTGTGTTGAGAGGCAAAGAATCAAAGAATAAGGAGGTGTTCAATCATTTCAGTCATGTCTGACTGTGACTCAATTTGGGGTTTTCTCGGCAGAGATACTGGAGTCGTTTGCCATTTCCTTCTGCAGTTCATTTTACAGATGAGGAACTCAGGGAAACAGGGTTAAGTGACTTGCCCAGGGTCACACAGCTAGTCAGTGTCTGAGGCCACATTTGAACTCAAGTCTTCCTGACTTCAGGCTAGGCACTCCATCCACTGTGAGGTAATGCCCTGCTTCTACTCTATCCTAGTCAAGTCACATCTGAGCTTCGGGGTTCAGTTCTGGCTGCTATAGTTGGAGAAGGACCCTGATGAGCTGGTGAGAGGCAGAGAAGTGGGCTGAGGACAAGAAAAACTGGAGCCACCCACAGGCAGCACAGGCCATCTGGGGAGGTGAGGACATGCCTGGCCCCTCCCCGGATGCTGCAAGCACAGGCTAGGCAACCACTCCTCACTAGATTTAGGTGGAGATTCCATTCAGAAATGGGGTGGACTAGTGGCCCCCTCTGAGAACTCAGCACTCCATGTCTCGAGGGTCCCACTTTGCTCCATCGTTTCAGGGACACCAGGTCATCTCTCCAGCATTCCTGATGAATGTAATGAAACACACACACACACACACACACACACACACACACACACACATACACACACACTGCAGGTGACGGGAGCTACTGTCCTAACATGTGTGGCCAGTAACAGTCCATGAAGAACGCTCGAGCCAGCACATCCCCTGACTGAAGCAAAGACAGTCCAGGAGGAGGAGGAAAAGAATCCTGGGGGACCAAGCCCAGAGGCTGCTGCCAGAGCAGTCCCCCAGAGCCCTCCAGTTGATCAAAGCCTGGCTGGCTAGCTTGGCTCAGGGTCAAAGGTTGGAATCAGGCCCCATTGGCCTCCACCCCCAAACTGTGCCCGGAACATTTGTTTATCTGGGTGGGGACCCCTCCTCTGTGTGTGTGCAGCCCCTGGCCCTGCCAAGTGCTCCCCCTTTTCAGCTAACCTATTCGCTTCTCTGTGTAACAGGGATTAGCCAGTGGAGGGCCAAGTCTTTGAGCATGTTCACATGTGGAAGTGGGGGCACCTGCTTCCAGCAAAATAGAATCAGGGGTTCTGCCCTCCCTCCACTTCAGAGTTTTCTGTGAATGATACTAGTGGTCACCTTCAGTCAGCTGCAAAACCACAACTGAGGTTTCATACGAACAGCACAAATACGCCCAGACTCCCAGGTCCCTCCCTAAGGGGCCAAGGCTGAGGACAAACTCCAAGGGCTGGGGGTGGGGAAGGGGGAAGGGAGTGCCCTTCCTGCTCCCACTGAGTCTCGAGGCAAGCCTCTGTCTTGGTATCCTCCTCTTTGGGTCTCCTTCCCATTTCTGTTTTCCAACTAGACTTCTCATCATCCAGCTGGAAGTTGATAGAGACATGTCTCCGAATACTGCCCATGCTCTCAAGGGGAGGGTGGAGGCTTCTATTCCACCTGTCAGAGACAAGTTCTCCAAGTATCCAGGTGGGTTGGCACTGGCAGGTAGCATAGGCCCTGGGTGGCCAGCCCCTGTTCCATTGGTCATGAGCTTCCAGGCCTCCCCATGTGTGACCGCAGGACTCTCTTTCCCCCCCTCCCCCTTCCTCCCCCCTCCCTCTCTCCTTCCTCCCCTCCCCAGTTTCCCTGTATCCCTGCCCTTCCCTCCCTTTCTTCCTCCCCACCCTTTCCCCCAGGGATGCCTGGGCCAGCCCCTCATCTCAGGCTCACCGGAAGCACCACCTGTAGTCTTCTCTCCCATCAGGTGTGTAGCCCACCTGCACTAGCTTTCCTGACCGGAAGGCCTTCCTCATGCAGTTCAGAAAGCTCTTCTCAGTGTCCAGGATGGTGATGGCTCTCTGCAGGGAGAGGGCCCAAGGAGCTTAGCATGAGGGTGGCCTGGAGCAGCCCATTTGCCCTCGTCCTACCCTGGCCTGACAAGGGCAGCAGGACACAGGGTTGGGACATTCTAGCTCATGTTCCAAGCAGTGAGAGGTAGCCCCAGGTCTGGGGAGCCGGTGGCCAGTGTGCTGGGGGTAGGCAGGTGTGTGGACATGGTGTGTTTGGAGCAGTAAGGGAAACCAGAATGGAGAAAGCAGGAGGACAATCAGGCCTTATGCTTGGTGAGGAAAAGGAAAGGCTTGAGCTCCCAAGGGCTGCTCTCCATCTCCTGCCAGGGCTTGAGCCTTGACCTCTGCCTAGCTAAGCAGGAGGTACAGGGCATCACTGTGGGCATTACTGAAGCTTCCTCTCAAGCTGCTCAATGCCTGGGCCTAGCTCCTCCCCCTTCTGTCTGCCCCAGGGCCCACCTCCTCAAGGGCACCTGCCCTGACTCCAGCAGCCTGCCCAGTCTGACCCTGGCACTTGCCAGGGCCCCCAAACACTTAGTGCTGGCCCCCATGTTCTCAATCTGCTTTTCCAAGGTCTCATCTGTGGGCATTGTTTCCTCCATCCCCTCCCCCATCCCAGCAGCACACCCCTGCCCAACTCTGGCTGGGTACATGTGGCAGGCCTTTGGTTTCCATCTGCTGCACAGAACTAGCCTGACCAGGGATCGGAGGGGACATAGAGAGTGGGGACACACCTTTGCTCTGGCCAGACAGCTTTGGCAAGGCCTCTCCTTCCAATCTAAATCCAGCTGGCTGCTGGCCTGGGGCTCATCTGCCTTTACCTGCTCTAAGAGTCAGTTCTGTCAAGATGCACTGAGTGTGCCCACACTCACTCACACACACACACACACACACACACACACACACACACACGCTCTTATACATACATCTACTGACATGCATACGCACACACACTCACATTCACATCCCCACTCATACACACATACACAAACTCACTGCACACACACAATGCTTACACATGCACACAGTGCTCATGCATTCACACATGTTCACACACATATACGCTTACATGTATGCTCACACACCTACACCCCTTCACATGATCACTCACTCACATACAGACTCACTCACACACATACATACACATTATCACAAACTCACTCATACATATTCACACACTTGCACATGCACACACATGCGCTCACATGTTCACACACATGTTCTCACAATGCACACCCACAGTTCACACACATGCTCACCCATGTACATATACTCACACTCACACACATTCACATGCTCATTCACACACATACATATACACACTTACAAACTCACACACTGCTTACACAAGCACAGTGCTCTCACACTCACACATACTCACACACCCCCTTGTGCTCACACACATGCACATGCCCACGTTCACACAGACACACTCACTCATGCACTCGCCCCCTTGTTCACACACATTTGCACGCTTGCACGCTTGCACGCTCACACGCTCGCGCACACAGACGACCTGGAGCTTCCAGATGTTTTTGCTCTCCTGGGCGATCTTATTGACGGTCTCCCCCATCAGGGCGATGAGCATGTTGAGCAGCAGGATGTAGGTCAGGATGACGTAGGCCAGCAGGAGGATGATGAAGACCGCCTTGAAGTCGTAGTTCTCAGTGAACTCCAGGTCCCCCATGCCAATGGTGAACTTGAAGAGCTCCAGGCATGTGGAATACAGGCTGTTGTAGGAGCTGGTGCATGGCTTGCAGCTGGTAGATCGACGCCCCCCATGGCAGGCAGTCTCTGTGCTGTTCTGTCCATCCTCGATCAGCGTCACCACCGCTGAAAGGGCCCAGAAGGAGATGGGGGGGCTGTGGCGGAACCCCCCAGACACCTGCTGCCCCCAAATGCCAGTCCACCAGACCGACCTTCTCCCAATGCCCAAGGGTGGCACACACTGACCTAGCATTCCTGTCCTGCCTTATCTCTCTCATGAAGGAAGCCCCCATGCCCACCCCCCAGGGCCCTCTGTAGCTCACCGGTGGAAAATCCAAACAGGAAGACCATATAGACAAACATAAAGCGGCACAGGTCTCTCAAGATCATCTGCAAGGAGAGGAGAGTCTAGTCAGAGTAGCCCCCTGGCCTGGGAGGCTGCCTGCTCAGGCTCCAGGCCTGCCTCTGTCCTGTCTAGCCTCTTCCTTAGCTGGGGCTTACTCCCCAGACATGCTGCTGATGGCCAGCTTTCTATGTGAGAAATGGAACAAGCCTTGACTTGCTGCCCACTCCCATTTGGAGAGACTCCACAGCGCCTGAAAGATGGCTGGCCAGGGTCAGGGGTCAGTGTCAGGGGCCCCCGGGCAGCAGGCTCCCACCCCAGACGCAAGAGCACTTCTCTGTTTCATGGCAAAAGAAACATTGCATCTAGCATGTTACTGTATCCTTTTCATTGCAGGTGCCCCAGAACCCCTACTGTGCCAAACTTCCTGTTTGCTCCATACATTGTATCCAGTGTGTT